CAACCGTGCACAACGCCCGCCTGCGCCGGGGCGGGCGGGGCGTGGCAGCCGCGGACAAAGTGCGGTCTGTGCCCGAGCCCCAGGCATAAAAAAAAAAAAGGGGGAAAAAAGAAAAAAAGAAATTGCCTTCCGTAGATGCCATAGAGATAACTCAGGACCATCCCCGCCACCCCGCGGGGCGCCGCTCGGCCCGCCGGGCCCTGCGCTGCGGGAGCAGGGCTTAGCGCTGATGCGCTTAAGCCGCCCGGCATCGCATGAGCTTAAAAATAGCAGCGACCTGGGCGACTGCCCTGCAGCACAGCCCGCCCGGACCCCCAGCCCTCAGACACGGGAAAACAGGGAAAATCCCACCTGGGTCTGCTAGCCTTGCCCCAGGGTCACCCGGAGCGCCCATGGAGGGAGCGGGGATGGGAGCGCCGGGTCCCCTCCTGCAGGGCTGCCATCCTCGGCAAAGCCGGGCTCCAGCTCCCTGCAGCCTCGCAGGGAACGGCCTCCCTCCTTGCAGCCTCCCTGGGATTGCAGCCTTTTAATCACCTGCAGGCATCAACCCACATGGGGACCAGCCGGGCTGTCCCCTGCCCTCCCTCCTGGCCCTGCCAGGGGGGAAACCAGCCCCCAAATCAGCCCCACCATCACCGCAGCCATGGGGAGCACCAGCCCCGTTACACCTTACCCTGGGAGCGTTACCTGCCTCAGACGTGACCCGAACACGGTGGCAATGCTGACACCCCAGCTACAGGCGCAAACTGCCCCCAGGGAAGGATTTACCCTTAAAACGGACAGCTGAAGTCAGAAAGGTTTATTCCAGTAAAGAGAATTTCTCTCGAGCTCAACATTACGACAACACCTGATCACAAAACACGGAATAAAACATCCACAGGAAAAATTTGCACAAAATACATTTTTAAAAAATGGTGTGATTGGAAAACCTCTTATTCTGGAAAAATAGACAAAGTCTATTGAGAAGACTTTAAATTAAGCATCATCAGATTAAACCCTGATCGGCTCTGTCTCCAGGAGTGAGCGCGTATTGCGATGGTTATTGCTTTGTGTGCGGGGTCCAGGCACCCTCTCCTCTCCCCAAACCCCCCCAAGCAGCTGGTTTCTCTTCCCCGAGGTGGCCATGGGACATGCCACAAGCGGGGTCATCCTGGATGGACGGGCAGAGGCCGAAAGCACCAATTCCTGCAGGGATCATGTTTGCTCCTTGGCCAGGCAGGTGGTGGGGATGGCTGAAAGTCACTAAAAGCCTAAGGCAGCAACGCAGAGGTCAAGGGTGATATGTGGGGGGCCTGAACAGACATGGGACAAGAGGAAAAATAGGAGGAAATGAGATTTTAAGAAGTGTTGGGCATCAGCTGGGGTCACCCCAAATCACTGGTTACTCCCAAATCTCTGTTTACATCTAGCAGGGTTCACAGGACTTCAAGTGGAGGACGGAGAAGCGCCTGGGTGGCCAAAACCTGCCTGGAGAGACGTCGCGAGCCCCTGTCCCTTGGGCCACAGCACAGAGAAGCCTCGGTCCCAACGGGGGCGGCGGGGAGGTGCCGGGAGGTGGAGGTGATGCCAGGGTCCCGGGGCCTTCACAGGTTGCTGAACAGTTCGTTTTTCTTGCTCCAGTCCATCTGGGGCGCGCGCTTGCTCGTGCGCTTCTGGTGCGCGCGCTCCTTGGCCACGGCCAGCGGGATGTCGAGGTCCAGCAGCGAGGCGGGCGCCGAGTTGCGCTTCTCGCCCTCGCTGGGCTGCGGGGACAAGAGCCGCATGAGCCCCGGGCACCCGCGCTTCGGGGTCGGGGACGCGGCCAGCGGCCCCGGGCTGGACGGGCTGTCGATCATGGAGCTGGGCCGCGGCTCGGCGCTGTTCTCCTGCGGGGAGCAGGGCTGAGCGGGGCACCCTCCACCCTGGCCTCCCCACACAGCACCAGGGTCCGGGCACGGTCCGGCCGCACAGCGGCACCGCAGCCGCCCTCCCCACGGACACACAGATCCCGGTGCTCCCCATGCCTCCCGCTGCCCTCGGCCCGACCCGGAGCCTCCCCGGGGCCCAAGGGTGCTTCCACACTGCAGGAAACGCTCTCCAGGGCTGGGGAAAGGCACCTTGGCCAGGGGCTCCTGCAGCTCCGTCCCTGCGGCACGGAACGGGAAGGGGGCTGGGAAATCCTTCCAACCTAATCTGCTGCGTGCTCCACACTAATAACTACCTCCAGCACGCTCCACCCCGGCCAGGAGGGATTAAAGACCAGCTGGGCTCTCCAGCCACTGCCGTTAGAGGCAGGAAGGAGGAGGAGGAGGGAGCAACAGAGGAGCAGCCATGTGGTCCCTGAGCACCTCCAGGAAGGAGGCAGGAGGATGGGGGATTCACAGCCACTGCGGGGACACTCAACATCCCAAATTACCCCCTGTCCAGAAGGTACCAGCTCCCTAGGTGAGAAGCTGAGGGCAAGAAGGACCCCAACGCTAGCAGGGTCCCTGTGCACAGTCTGATGGGGGGAATGAAGGAGATGGGAATCTCTTACCTTCCCTACGTCACCATTGGCAACCGGTTCTGGCAAAGGGCCTGTAGGGACGAGACATGGGTGCTGGGTAAGGGGAGATCTGCTCAGCCTGCTCCCCCCGGGTGGAGGAAGTGCCCAAAGCCCATGGGAGAGCACTGCCACCCTCCCTGCATCCCAGCTCTACTGGATTAGGATTAATTAATCCTCATTAAAGCAGCCAGCCCCATCCTGCTGATGGCTGTAGAACAGGGGTGGATGGAGCCTGTTCTCCCTGAGGTCTGTGCACCAAAACGGGGACAGGAAACCCTGCGGGAAACCCTCCTCGGCGGCCCGGCGGGACGGGGCAAACAGAGCCAGGCAGCAGAGGAGGGTGAAGGGCACCTGCCCACGCGCCCTGCGCTCCCCGGGCCATAAACCCTGTCAAACTGTAACCGGCAGGGCCATAAAGCGCTCCTGCCCACGCACGTACTGCCCTGGAGACCGCGTGCCTCCCATGCCACCCCCTGCATGGGCCCAGCTGCCCAGGGACAGGCTAAAGCAGGACCACTGTATGTGGCCTTAAGTGCAAGTGAAATTGTCTCCTCCGGCAGCCTGGAGACCTCCCACCCACCGTTTCCTCCATGGGTCCTTGGTTTTGACACAGCGAGGACTGGTGCTACTGCAGCCAGCGGAGGCAATTTTGCAACCCCAGAGCACACCTTCAATAACAAGGGTGCTCAACACCCCCACTGAACACATGGGGCCTCAAGGAACCCCCCGACGAGCCACCCACCTTCCAGGTGGGCCTCCGAGGGCACCACCTTGCACTTCTTGAAGAACTCGTCCGTGAGGACGTCCACCACGAGCAGCTTGGTCTCGTCGCCGCCCGCCTTGATGGCCGCCACGACGTCGGCGTGCTGCTTGCCCTCCATGCACACCCCATTCACCTGCGGGACACGGTGCTGCATGAGGGCTGCACTGACCCCCAGCGCTGCTCTCAGGCACATCAGGGGATTTGGGAGCATCCCGGGGTGATGCGCAGCGTCTTCTGCCCTGAGGATCGCAGTCCCCAGGCCATAAAGGCCTTCCCAGCACCTCAGAGCAGCGGGATGCTCCAGCCAGGCTATTTGCACCCATGGAAAGCAGCAAGGTGAGGGCACCACGCAGCTCCCATCTCACTCTGACAGCCCCCACATTGCCAAGGAAGAGGAGGGGACATCCCTCTCCAACCGGCTCAGCTGGGGTACAGTGACAGTGCCTCAAAAAAGGGTTTTCCACGGATGTAGGACAGATCTGGCTCAAGGAAGCTGAGCCGCTGCCGTGCCCGGCCCCTGCCCTGTGCCAAGCTCTGGCAGGCGGCACGGCCAAGCAAGCAAAGGCCAAACACGCGGGGACAGCTCAGCGGAGGGAAAAAGCTCAGGGAAAGGAAGGGGCTCATTCAAAGGAAAGCTCAGGAGCCCGGGAAAGGGCTCATTCCTCCTCTGGGCAGCAGCTCCAACTGCCCTACAGCCCCCCACAGATGTCCGGAGCTGGAGACCTGCATGGATTAGCAGAGAAGCCAGCAAAACCTCATTAAAGGCAGATTTTCTCTTGGTGATTAGCACAGGATTGTACAAGCAAAGCTGCCAGGAAGCGCAAGGCAGGGCATGTGCCGGAGCCGGGCAGCAGGGTCAGGCTCCAGCAGGAGACTGGCACCACCAGCCGGGACCATCGCGCCCCTCTGGCAATGACACCCGTCCCGCGCAGCCCGTCTCGTCCTCGGGACAACCCAGGGGCAGTTTTGACCGTGCAGGAACCGCCGTTCCAGCACTTTAGAGATAAACAGCGGA